AACAAATGGAAGCAATATCTGACTGGGCAAAAGTAGCAGTGGAGGAAGATGAAACAACCTGTTGTTGAGATAGGAATTGGGCATACTCCTCTCGAGTAATAGTAACCAATCCAGTGTCTTACTTGGGTTCCATAATAGTGCAGCAAATAACAAACAAGAAGTGCTGCAATGCCGAACTAAAAGAAAAGCAGATGTTGGACCGTTGAACTGGGCCTGTTAAGGCTGTTGGAATACTGAACGAGTCTGGAAAAATAGCATGAACCACTGATCCGGGCCTGTTAAGGCTGCTGGAGCCCTGAACCAAACTAGAAAACTAGTCTGGACCACTGAATCGGCCTTGTTAAGGCCACTGGAGGCTTGAACCGGACTAGAAAACCGGTTTGGACCACTGAACTAGCCTTGTTAAGGCCACTGGAAGCTTGAACCGGACTGGTTTAGCCCTCTGGACCGCTAAACCAGAGTAAAAATAGAAGGATCTTGCCTGAACCGGTCTAAAAATGATTGATTCGGGCTTGAACCTGCTTAAAACAGACTGAACCGGGTCACAGGAGACTACTGGATTGTTGAACCGGAGACAAAACAGAACGAACCGGTCTGAATCTAGCTGAATTAGGATCAAACCGGAGCTGGACCGGGATTGATCTGGACTGGACTTGAACCGTGGGCTAGAGGGTCTGGACTGAATCGGGTCTGGACTTTTTTTTTCAAGGTCTGGACCCTTTCTTCTTCGTCGATTAAGATTACAGTAATCCTAGTCTTCCTGGACCACAACCATGACCGACAAACCACCACAAACCAAATCCACACCACCACGACCACAGCCAATCTTCGAGACCACGACCACGACCAACAGACCACACAAACCATGAACGACCAGTAACCCTAGTCTTCTTGGATTACCACCACGACCGACAAACCACTACAAACAAACGAGAGTCCACCACAAACCAAATCCACACCACCACGACCACAGCCACGACAAACAACACTCCTCGACCACTGCAACGAACACACCAGACCACCACAGTCACACCACAACAGCCGCCAAACAACAACAACACAGTAGCACCACTAGGAACAAAAATTTATTCAGAATATATATTTATGATCATATATGCTCTGATACCATGTTAAGTTTAATGAATTAACATAACACAATATTAGAGAGAAGGAGAGAGGTCAAAAACTTAACCTAGTTCTCATACATCACTTATATTTATAGTTAACCTACAATAATAAGAATTACATATACACCCTATTACTATTAACAATTTACACATACTACCCTACTATTCTTAACATCATCCATATGGTTATTTTTTGTCATCACGTCCCAATGTCAGACAGATCACTTGAGGAGTGCCGAACATATGTATAAAATTAAGGTATTCAATTTTTAATTATAGACAAAATGAAGTTGTACTGAACACATGGTCAAGAGTGCCCAAGAAATGTGGGTATCCAACATGCACGTGTCACCTTCTTATAAGTGTCCGTATGTCAACTTACTATGCTCTGTTTTGATGAAGCAAAACCAATTTTGCATTTGAAACTAGCTAATGGTGCATCAACAAAGTATTCTGGGTAAGCATTGCAAGAGCTTCCCATGATGGGGAAGTCTTAATGGGGATATATGGCTGCAAAGTTTAAAGGTGTATAACATTTTTGGATGTTGAAGTATAAATACTTAAGTTACACCCTCTCCAATAGCTTAAATTTTTGGAGTAGATGATTGTTTAACATGGTATCAGACAAGAGGTTTTATATTCGAATCTCGCTGCCACTCTGCTTATTAAAAAGATTTTCACGTGCTAGGGCCAAAATCTAGCCAGCACGTGAGGGGGCGTGCTGAAGTTAAAATAATTAAGTTCCATCCTCTCCAATAATTTAAGCTTTTGGAGTAGGACTTAATAATTTTTTTTTTTTTTTTGGTGTATTTTCCCAAATGCCAGCTTTCTTTGATGTTGCAGTCCCGCTAGAGTGTATCTTGCCTTGTTTTTTCTCAGTTCTTACAATTATGGGTTTTTTGCAGCTCCTTTCTTGCACTCATCTTTGGTACACCTTCCAATACTCTTGTTTATATGTGTTAATCTATTTCATTTATTGTCAAGCTCCATGAGTGCTTTCATCATATTTTTTGCCTGTTTGTTGTGCTGCTTATCCTTTTGACACATTTTCTGCACAGTGCTAAATAAACTAGGCAGGGAATGTTTTGCAAGAATTACTTCTTCAGAAAACCAAGGAACATCTTCAGTTGGTGTTAGCCCACAGCTTTCAGTGCCACCCCCGCCTTCTCATGTGTAATAGTAACTTCTCCTCTTTTGATTGTTTTTTGTTTTTGGCTCACAAGCCAATTTGTTAGCTCTTCTTCAATAACACGTGTTCTTCCAACTGATATTTTTCTTCATAAAATTGATATGTTCTGTAATCTTTTTGTTATGTTTGTAGAGGATCACCTCTGTTTTGGATTGGAGTTGGTGTTGGGCTGTCAGCACTTTTTTCATGGGTATGAGTGAGGATCACTTCCATGCTCTTCCCTTAACAATATTCCTGATTTTTATATTATACCTTAATTTTTTTAGTCTTTTCGTCCCATCACCTCTTTCTGACAATCTGATTTGAATTATATGGCAGGTGGCTACATACCTAAAGGTGAGTTGCTTGCTTGCAAGGTCTACATACCTTATAAGGAAATGTATTTTGTTCTTTTTTGATACAATGAAAGGATGCAATTTATACATATTCTGTTTTAAGAGATGATCAAGGAAGGATTTATATGCTTGTAAACTATGCTTTCACAAGATGCGCTTGATATCCACAGCTGATGGCTTAGATAGATAATAAAAATTTGTGAGCTATTCGTAAAATCAGTTGTGTTGTGGTGTTGACTCCCTTTGTGAGTGATGACATTTGAAGATGTTGGTTACCGATTTGTGACAAGAATCCCATGATTCGAGTAATTTATAGAGATTGATAATTATAGGAGTGCTTTCCTTCATTATATTCTGATTTATGCTACGTGTCCTGTTCCTTCACCTATAGAATGGCGATAATTGTAAATCAAACAATCTGGTGAAAATAATCCAGATGTTGTCCCTTGGAACTTGTATTTGTGGGTGTGGGCAAGGTTGGCAAAACATTATCTCACGAGTCATAAGATATGCTCAATTTCAAAAATATATTATCAAATATATCTATATCTATACATCTATTTAAAAAAAGTGAAACTACAAAAGCACTGTTTCCAGAAGTTTGCTTTTCTAGCTTCTCTGGATGCTCATTCAAGAGAAGCACCTTTTGTTAAGAAGTTAAAAGTGTAACTTCATCAAATGCCCATGTACCACTTGACCTGAAAAGCCCATCCACGGGGCACATGAAACATTCCCTAGGTTTCCTTGACAAATTTCTGCTATACAATTAGATGAATGGACAACTAGTTATAAATTTTAGTCAGAAACATGTCCCTGGACTAATTTTCTGCTAGAAAAATTTAAGCAAAAACATTGAATCGAAAAATAAAGAAAAGGGAGTAAGGGGAGAAAAAAAGGCGCAATACAAGCCCTTGTCTTGCAAGGTAGGACACTAATCAGTTCAATAAAAGCTAGTTCACAAATGGTACACAAACCGAGTGCATCTTGAATATTCTTTGTGTGGGAAGTTTTATGCTATGCATGGGCTGTACTCTTTTCTGCTCGTTAGTCGATCTGTAGATCAAAGTTTCTTACTTGGACTGATATAAACTAGGTGGATTTGACATTGGAATAAATGATGCTGAAGTAGAGTAGCCTGTGGGTCTATTATGCCATAGAAGTGCTTAGCTATGTATGGGAACTCCCTGACAGATCTCATGTGTGTTAGTGATGCGACACAAACTAAGCTTTACTATGCGAAACATTCCCATCTTCTCTTACAAGATAAATTATAATTATTTTGTATTGTGATTATGTTCATAAATTGTAACCTATAGGGTTAACCTTATGACATCCGTCTCTCTCTCTCTCTCTCTCTCTCTTTCTCTGTACGCAGACACACACACTCGCACTCTTTTTCTCATGTTTTTCCTTTAAGTTCTTTTGCTCTTCCCTTCTTGTCTTTCTTGAACCTTTTCTTCTTCTCACCATCTCCTTTTGGAAGATAGCTCATAACTTAAGGTTTGTCAGGCTGTCTTGCATTAGATACATATCATTTGTGATGAAATCTTCGAAGGAGGAAGCACTTTTTTAATGAGGAAATTCTGTTTCCAATTAGAAAAACCCCAGGATCCAAGAGGTGTGGGAAACTATGATATGACTGGGATCATCCACTTTCAGCATAGTCATTGTGATGGTCATCTTTTGCTTCTCTTACTCAATTTGGTAATGTTGTTTACTGGTGGTATTTGACTCAAATGACTCAGGATATGCTTTCTTTAGGTCCTCCTAAAAATTACTTGCTCTACTTCAAGTCTTATTAGCAAAACTAGTTGGAGCTATTGCTAGGTCCAGTTGTAACTTATGCAAATGAAGCCCAAGGTTGTTCACTCCTGCCCCACCACAAAAGTCATATTTCCTATCTCAGCACATTCTGCACCCTCTTTTTCTTCTCCACTTTCAATGCTATCTTCCAGGTCTCATATGTCTACCACACCTTTGAATGCCTTACCTTCCCTTACTTACAGACATGGTGGGGTTGAGATAATCATAGGTGAAGATTTAGGGATAGTGAACGTGAATTGGTAGGATCTACATTGGGAATCCCCCACCCCCCCAAAAAAAAAAAAAAAAAAACCACGGCCCCTGTGGGGCCCCCTTTTGCTCAGTTGAGGAGATTTCTAGTGAAGTGCCATTTTCTTGTATTATAACTTATCTCTTCTTGTTTTGTTCTTTAACTGTCAATTTTGAAGAGGCTTGAGAAATTGCAGAGGGATATTATTCCTTGGGAGTGAAGGATGAGATGGCCTTTCTCTAGGATGATGGATTAGGCCTTAGAATTTGGCTTATGTACTCATGTTTTGTTGTAAAATGGTTGTGGAGGTTGTTCAAAAGAGGAAGCCCGAGGTGCATGGGAATGATTAAGTTGAGTGGGCTTGGATGGGTATAGTGTGGGTGAATAGCTAGTGGTTTTTTGGGCCTACTAAAGTAACTTTGAATTGTAAATTCCTTCCCTTCTTTCGTCATATGTACTTTTTTTTTTTTAGGTGTGTATATTTTACTTTTGTATAGGGTGGGGGGAAGGGAGAGGAAGGCCACGTTGGGTACTCTCTATTGAGCCTTATGTGGAAGCAAGGGTGCACAATTGGTTGTTCAAGTGGTGTGAAGAAATATTTTCAAGTGTGTTATAGCATCTGGGATGCTGTAGAGAGTACTTTCTTCCTTCTTTGATTAGTTTTAAATTCTAATTTGGTTAATTATTCTAATATCGATTGATAGTACAGCTGGCTAGCTATCCCTGCACCGTAAGGCCAGCACTTTCATGATTCGTTGCTTTCATGCTGTTTCAAATCCATACCCAAATTGGCATATGTACATATTGGTTTACATAGTGTGTATTATGAGAATTAATAAAGTTTGCCTTCTTGCCATGAACATATTTATCTATGCCAATTTCCGTTTGATTCTTGTTTCAGAAATATGCGATGCAACAAGCTTTCAAGACATTGATGGGACAGATGAATACACAAAATAATCAATTCAGTAATGCTGCCTTCTCTCCTGGATCGCCTTTTCCTTATCCATCACCCCCGGCATCAGGTCCAACTGCCTCATCTGCTCCAGCTGCATCTCAACCTGTGACGGTAGATGTATCTGCAACTAAAGTTGAGGCCGCACCAACCACTCATGTTAAAGATCACAAAGAATCCGAGAAGGGGCCAAAGAAATATGGTACTAGTGGTCTCTTTCTTCATTTCTTTAATGTGTACGTAAAGAAATCCACAATGGCCACTAGAGGACTGCTACTATATCTGGATCATTAAGCTGTTTCCATTAAACTAACTTTTTTTTGATTTCTTGTGACTTCTAACTTGTTTCTCCAATGCCATCAGTAAACATTTATTTTCTACTTCCAGTTTCTTGAATTGAAATTTGTCCTTCGTGCCCTTAATAATTATCGTTCTCTTCGTGTATACATCATCTTCCTTCAATCTTTATAGATTAGCTATTGCCAGCCATTTTCCTCAAACCTTAATACTTAACCTTTACTTTCTACACGAGTAAGAAGCACACTTGTTAGCACACTTGTTAAGTAGCTTTCACATTTGTGATTAATTATAGAAGATTGTGGATGCCTCCTATTACAGTTGTCAAAGTCCCAAGGTTTGGGCTCACAAAACGACCCTTTAAAATGTGAACGGTGGACATGCAAGATTAGGCAAGTATTGCATGAGAGTGGGAAAACCCAATGTGCAGGCTATGCAGTTACTTGGCAAGACTCTACTTTAGAGCTTTTCTACGAGATTTCTTATATTTTAACTTTGTTTCTCTTCTATGATTTTGTATTCTAGGCGTGTTTTGGTCTTTTGTGCTCAAGTTGTGGCAGGGAGCTGTAGTAATGAGCATTTGTTTTCTAGGTTTATTTATATTTTAAGGTCAGATTTAGTGGGTCTGGTGGATTAGAATACTGGCCCTAGTCTTAGTCAACTTTGGTCATCAATATGCTTCCTCATCAAGTTTATTTGGCCACATACTTGTTCTTACCTCCCAGATATATAATACTTATATACGTTGAACAAAGGAATCATATAAACATCACTCCTTAGGGGTGAGGCCTATGAACCCCTATGTAACTCCTTGGCTTCTCCCTATTCTTACTATTTTCTATGTTAACCTGTGCATTGTGAATAGGGGTGGCTCAAGGCAATTTGAGGCCTAAAGCGAAAACACTAAATGAGGGCATTTTTTATTTTTAATATTAATTTTTTAAAAAATTAATTTATTTTTCATTTATTATGTGAGAGAGAGACAGAAAAGGATGTGCTAGTGTTGCAAAAAAAAATGTTTTTACTTTTGTTTTGTTTTTTACTAGAGAGAGTGTTTAATTTTAACTTTTTTAATTTTTTTTACTTATTTTTACATGGAGAATAAGTAGGGGTAAATATGAGTTGACTTTTGAGTATTTTTTATTTTATTTATTTATTTTATTTAGGTTTCTAATGCCCAAATTATTACAATAAAAAATTTTGACTGTACTTAATTTTTTAGGGCTTTTTTTTAGGGTTTAAAATTTAAAAGATTTAAATTTTTTTTGAGTTAGTAATGTACTTAAAATTATGGAGTCTTCTAAAAAATTGGGGCTTAAAGCCCAAGTTTTTTTTTTTCATGCTGTTGAGCCGCCCTTGGTTCTGAACTTACAGCCAACCCGAAAATTGAAATCCTTTGTTTAAAGAGAGAGAGAGAGTTCAGTATGTGAATCACAAATCTCAACCAAGAATCAATGACAACTACCAACAATCCACAAAATCTTGTAAGTTACTATTCACAATCATTGTTCCCCATGGGTTAAAGTTGGGGTATTGACCATTTACTCGAATGGGCACCGAGACGCATTTGTCGTGGTCTCGTGGAATAGGATTGAGCAATATGCATGAAATGGTAGACAGGAAAAAAAGTCAAACATAACAAAAGATTCATGCCATACCGTGGCGTCACATAATGGTCGAAGGTAATACAATGCGAGTCAATGACAATGGCTCGATCTACTTAGAGATGTCTCCAATGAGTTGAGTGAGGCTTGTGAATTACACAATACGTGACATTGTATTAGAATGCAAAGTACTGAGTTGGGTATGACTTGACTGATTCTTTGAACAATACTGTTGAAAGTGCTAGAACAGCCACTAGTTACCCATCAAAATTCTCATTTTCAACTATGCTATTAGCTCCAGCATTTCTCCACAAGCTAAACCTTAAATTATTGTTTGTTTCTTTAATTTCCTCTGAATTCCTAGTTATTTTGACTCTGAAAGTAAGATTTTGCATAACGTTTGAACCAACTCATTTTCCTAGACGATTACATATTCACTTGGATTAACTCTATATAGCTGAAAATATGAACACACACAAGGTGATAGGTTGTTCTCTTAGCATTCCCTATGCAACATGCTGCTCAACATTTTTGACCCTCTAAAATTGTAATTATACACTAGGTACAATTTTTTTATGCTAAACTTAAAATTCATGATGTAGTTAGTCATGAATTTGTTTTTTCAAACATTTTGATGGGGATCATGTAGGAATTAGATGAATATAAATTAATTATGATAGTTATTTAGATACTTTTAATACTTATCTTTTAAGTAATTTCTTTTAACTTTTAAAGGTTTATTTGTCATTACTTATTTGTTTTAGGGTTTTAGTTTCCCTTTATAAAGGGATGCATGTAACGATTTTATTTAGACTAGACTTTTGATTATTTATATTGAATCCTGATATTGTTTTTTCCTCAAATTCTCTTTATATTCTCATCCCTTTCTTCTTATTTTCTCATCCCCTTCTTCTTCCTTTCTCATCCCTAATTCTTCTCTACTACGATGTGTATCAATTTGATATCAGAGATAATACGATTTACATCAATTTGATATCAGAGCCTAATCTCAATTCAACACCGCCGCTGCCATAGAATTTAGTCAATCATCATTAATTAGTCGTATTGTTGCTATTCATCGTCATCACGAAGCCTTCGTTAAAATTCCCAACGTAGCAATCAACGATGACAACATAAAACCAGTGTCATCCAGATAGCCAAAAAAAAAAACTTTTGCATTGTCCTAGTGTTCATTGTTGTTATTGTTTCGTTCCAGGAAAAAAAAATCATTACTGTTCATCACACTGTTCATTACTGTTCATCGTGATTGTTTAGTATTACATAAGCATCCTCAGTAAATTTTAGAATTGCAGAAACATCACCAAAATGTCCAAAAAATTACAGAATTACCCACATAAGTTACAGCAAATTGTAGAAATACTATCCAAAAATTTCAGAATTGCAGAAACATTTCCAATAGATCCATAAAATTGCAGAATCATCCCCAAAAAATTTCAGAATTTTCTCTTAATTATGATATGCATACTCCCATAGAATTTGAAACTAATATTTTTATTCATTGAAAAATTAGAGAATTTGCAAAGGGTCCAATACACATTTTCTTCTATTTAAATTTTCTTGAAATTGTCAATTGCGTTCTTGAATTTGTTGTCGAGTAATGCTATTGAGATCTAATTTACTGACCTAATTTGTTGATTTAATTCACTATGACTTTTGAATTGATCGTGAGCTATATCAAACATTAAAATTTGGTGTTAATCCAATGGTTCCACTAAAGCCACATTATTATGTCAGCAAATTATGTCATATTTTTAGGTTTAAATAGGATTACTCTTTGTTCTTATACCATTCTCATCTTTCAAGAGTCATTCATGAGTTACTCTAATGCACATGTTTCAAAAGTTTCTCGTCGAGGTCATCATCATAGGAAGTTTAGGGATGTTTACATGGTCAAAGATCCTTCTATATTTGGTAGCATTTTAAATCCTTTTGAATTTTTAGATTGGTTAGTTAATTTAGAAGAATATTTTGATTGGCATGACATGTTAGATTTTGATTGCGTTCGTTTTGCTAAATTGATGTTAGAGGATTCCGTCAAGTAGTATTGACAAACAATTAAAAGAAGCCTAGATTACTTAGGAGAATCACCTATTACTTGGGTTAAAATGAGATATAAATTGAAAGAGAAGTATTTGCCTACTTCCTACATGGATTAGTTTTATGACCAATGGCTCAATCTCAGATAACATTCTTCGAGTGTCTCTGATTACTTTGCCTAGTTTGATTATCTCATGTACTTGTGTGGCATTGTTGAAAAATATTGGACAATTGATCAGTTTATTCTTGGGTTGAGACCAAAAATTAGTAGGGAGGTGAAGTTATATATTTTTAATACGTTAGTGGCAACCTATCAATATGCTCTGAAGGTTGAGAGATTTCATAAGAAATTCAACTATAGCTTGATGGGTTCTCAATCATAGTCTGCTAAATAGCGTGACAGGATACCTTCCAATTTTAATTCCACCACATATGAGTATCATGATTATTTAGGATGATATCAATGTTATTTTTGCATGTTTTCCTAATTCCAGGGTAACCATGGATTTGTATGACACATTCTCACCTAAAAAAAAAGATGTTACTCATGTCGACTATCAATCCTCTTGTCCAGTTTTATCAAATCAGATCTCACCTCCTTTATACCAACAAAAGTCGATACCTGAAGAAAGTGAGTTTGAGCCTTTGCCGGAGTCAAATGTTGAGTCACTACTTGTAATGGAACTTGTTAAAAAGTCTGTCGAGCCACACTTATGAAAGATGTCGAGCATATTAAGTTACCTATTTTTGAATCTTTTGGTGAATGTTTTGTGTCTTTATTTCAACTCAATCTAATTTTGTTCCCAAATCTTTCCTCTCAGAAATAGTTGACTTTATTCCAACTATCAAGATTTCACTTGAGTTGATACTTAATTATTTTGACCACCAAGGCGTTATTGTTACTCCTTTGTCATCAATGTTTTTTTCCATTGAATATTTTTTGTTGAAACCTAATAAGAATTGTTTTGTTATTCTTGAGTTTGGATCTAATACTTTTTTGCTTAATTTTCTATTGAATGTTAGTATTGGTCCAGATTTTTATTTGGAGGACATGCTACTTAATCGAGGTACTTCAGAACCTCCTATTTTGTTATCCAGTGTTTCTACAGATGGAGATTCTTGCATTTATTCTGAGCCATGGAAAGATGTTGATAGTTCTTTTATTTTAGATGAGGCGTTCTGTCATCTTCATGCTGCTCTCTTAAGGTATTTTTGCTTTGAATACTCTCTGGAGGAGAGTTTTCCTCAACCGAAGGAGAATGACGGGTATCGTTTAGGAATTAGATAGATATTATAGATTAATTATGATAATTATTTAGATATTTTTAATATTTA